AACAGCAGCAGCAGCAGCAGCAGCAGTGAGAGCAGCAGCAGTAACAGCAGCAGCAGCAGCAGCAGCAGTGAGAGCAGCAGCAGTAACAGCAGCAGCAGCACCACCACCACTACCTAATGTGTTGGGGCGGTGAGAAGATAGACATCAGAAGCGGCACTGCCACACAGTAGCAGCAGCAACAGCAGCAGTTAGTGCTGCTGCTGCTGCTGCTGTTGCTGCTGCTGCTACAATTGCTGCAGTCTGCATATGAATGAGAACTAAGATAATGTCAGTGTGTTTAGTGGGAGCATTCTATTGATGAGTGCAGCAGCAAAAAAGCTGCTGCTAGCTTCTTGTTCGTTCCTGTTGCAGCAGTTAGTGCTGCTGCTGCTGCAGCTGCTGCTGCAGCAATGCTTAATGCAGCAGCAGCAGCAGCAGCAGCGGGAGGCACGTTTTTCAGGACTTGTCGTTCATTTATTTATACTTTAAGTGCGAAAGCAGCAGCGGGTGGTGCTATTTCTGTTGCTGCTGCTGCTGTTGCTGCTGCGTCTGTTGCTGCTGCGTCTGTTGCTGCTGCTTCTGTTGCTGTTGCTGCTGTTGCTGCTGCTGGTTTAGCAGGGGCAGCAGCAGCAGGAGCAGCAACAGGTTGTGCTGCTGCCGCATGCATTTTACTTGCCGCCTTTGTCTTCGTCCATCACCTCAGCTGCTGTCTCTGCTGCAGCTGTTTCCCCGTCTGCTGCTGCTGCTGCTGCTACTGTTGCTGCTGTTCTCCGCAGCCCGCCGCTGGGCAGAGCGATGCAGGCCTTATGCCGCGACCTCCCTAGCACTGGCTGCTGCTGCTGCTGCTGCTGTTGTTGCTGCTGCTGCTTCTGGGGACGCCGCCGCTGCTGCTGCTGCTGCTCCGGCGGCTTCGGCACTGTTATGGGCCGAGTCGATCGCGACACCACAATGCGGCGGTCATCTGCAGCAGCAGCAGCAGCAGGAACAGCAGCAGCAGCAGGAACAGCAGCAGCAGCAGGTGCAGCAGCGCCGCAGGCTACACCGGCAGCAGAAGAAGCAGCCGGCTGCCAGCACCAACAGCAGAACCCCTTAAACCCAAACTCCAGCAGCAGCAGCAGCTCCAGCAGCAGCAGCAGCTCCAGCAGCCGCAACATTAGCAGCAGCAACATTGACATTAGCAGCAGCAGCAGCAGCCCCAGCAGCAGCAACATCGACATTAGCAGCAGCAGCAGGCCCAACAGCACCAACATCGACATTAGCAGCAGCGGCGACATCGGCAGCAGCAGCAGCATCAGCAGCAACAGCAGCAGCAGCAGCAGCAGCAGACCTGCAGATGACTGTCTCTGCGGGGTGGCCAGTGATGGGGGCGAAGTGAGCAGCAAGTGTCTCCTCTGTTGTTTTGAAGTGCAAATTTTTAACAAACAAAACCCCACACTCAACTTGCTGCTCTGCTGCAACATTTTGCTTCCGACGCTTCTCAACCTGCAGCAGCAGCAGCAGCAACAGCAGCAGCAGCAACAGCAGCAGCAGCAACAGCAGCAGCAGCAGCAGCAGCAGCAACAGCAGCAGCAGAAACTGTCGACGTAATGCAAAAACAAGGGGAGGAATATGCAAATCAAGAAGCAACTCTAAACCGTAAACCCTAAACCCTAAACCCTAAACCCTAAACCCTAAAGGGCACGCTGTCTAGGTAATGCAAACAGACAGAGAGAGAGACAGAGACAGAGACAAACAAACAGAGACAAAAAGACAAGAAGAGAGACAAAAGGAGACAGAAAAAAAGAGAGAGACAAAGACAGACATAGGCGTATAATAAAAGAGACAGAGACAGAGACAGAAGAGAGACAGAAGCAGCAGCAGCAGCAGCTGCTGCTGCTGCTGCTGCAACAGCAGCAAACAAACAAGAGAGAGACAGAAGCAAATAAAAGTTAAAAGGAGACAGCTCAGCTGCACACTCTCACCTTGTTAACGGGTGCAGCAATCCAGCGATGGTTTTTCATAGGGATTGACGGCGCTAGCATAAAGGGCTTTCCTTTCAGCAGCATTTGCTGCATGCAGCTGTCTCCTTTCTTATCTCCCCCGCTGCTGCTGCTGCTGCTGCTGCTCTCCTGCTGCTCACCCTGCTGCTGCTCACCCTGCTGCTGCTCACCCTGCTGCTGCTGATGCTCATGCTCTTCGGCGCGCGCCGCTGAAGCTTCGGAACCTTGCTGCTGCTCCTGCTGCTGCTGCTGTTGCTGCTGCTGCTGCTGGGCATTGTGGAAGTGCTGCAGCGCAGCAACTGCAGCTTCATGCGACTCAAAGTCAACATAGCCATACCTGCGGATACACCCCAAGGAGCAGCAAGCACCTGCTGCTGCAGCAAGGAGACAGCTACTGGTTGTGCTTTTGCTGCTGCAGCAAGGAGACACCTGCTGCTCCATGACCTGCTGTAGCAGCAGCGCCAGCGCTGCTGCTAGAAACCCACATCTTGCTCTTCTCTATCAGCAGCCGCAACAGCAGCAGCAGGAAAAACAGCCGCAGCAGCAGCAGAAGAACTAGCGGCAACACGAACAGCAGCAGAAGCAACACGCAAAGTAGCAGCACGAACACCAGCAGCAGCGGCAGCAGCAGCAGCACGCACAGCAGCAGCAGCAGCAGCAGGAGGAGGAGCAGCAGCAGGAGTGAGCATACCCCTTGTTTGCGTGTGGGGTGTTAGGGTCGTTGACGAGGCGAACAGCAACAACACCTTGAAAGTGAAGGCTCTGCTTCAGTGCTGTCTCTATCTCTGTCTCCGTTATGTTTGTCTTTGAGAGGTTACTAATAAACAATGTCTTCTCTTCATACAACAACTTCGTAGGGTTTGACTGCAGCGCCTTCAGAGGCCTTTCATTCAGCTGCTGCCCGTGCAGCGCAGCAGCAGCAGCAGCAGCAGCAGCAGCAGACACAAAATCTGCATACGCAAAGCCCTTCGATACACCGCGAAAATCCTTCACCAAACGCAGCTGTACATACACACAAACATACAGCAGCAACAGCAGCAACAGCAACTCAACCAGCAGCAGCAACAACACAAAAAGGAGTTGTAGCAGCAGAAACAGCAGCAGCAGCAGCAGCAGAAACAGCAGCAGCAGCAGCGAAAACACGGAACGTAGCACACTGCCACAGCACACAAAACTGCAGCAGCAAACAGGAGCAGCAGCAACAAGAACAGCAGCAGCAACAGCAGCAGCAGCAGCAGCAGCAATGTCGCACCTGGGTAAGGCCTTGAGTAAGTTTGTTGATGAGTTGCTGCAGCTGCTGCTGCGAGACAGAAGCATCGATGTTCGAGAGCCAAACTGTCTTTGTCTCCTCTGCCTTAGGTACAAATGCTGCACCTCCTCCTTCAGGAGACAGCAAAGCCTCACCCCTAATAAACAGCAGCAGCAGCAGCAGCAGCAGCAACAGCAGAGGCAGCAGCAGCAGCAGAGGCAGCAGCAGCACAAGTGCAACGCAGTGCGCATAAGCAGCAGGGACATGATACTCCTGTTGGTGCTGTTGTTGCTGCTGCTGCTGCTGCTGTAGCTACGGAGCCTTTCAGGGCACCGCCTGCAGCAGTTATTTCCTATACAGTCGCTAGCAGCAGCAGCAGCTGCTGCTGCTGCTGCTACTGCTGCTGCGGCAACAGTGGCAAGAAGGCTACATAGCACAGACCAGCAGCACCCACACCAGCAGCATCAGCAGCAGCAGCATCAGCAGCAGCAGCATCAGCAGCAGCAGCAGCAGCAGCAGCAGTTGATGCATACGTAATTT